CCCCCTGCTTGTGTTCCCTCTCTCGCTGTGTCTCTCTCTGTCAAATAAATAAATAAAATCTTAAAAAAAAAAAAAAGTTTTAAAATAGGGCACCTGGCTGGCTCAGCTGGTGGAGCATCAGACTCTTGATCTCAGGGTTGTGAGTTTGAGCCCCATGTCAGGTGTACAAATTACTTACTTACTCCCTACTGAGCAGGGAGCCCAACATGGGGCTCGATCCCAGGACCCTGGGAACATGACCTGAGCAGAAGGCAGATGCTTAACCTACTGAGCCACCCAGGGCACCCCTTAAAAATAAAATCTTAAAATTTTAATAGAGTTTTTAAGAAAGTATTAAAAGAGGGGAGGTGGGTAAGGGAAATGGTGAAACAGGTGATGAGGATTAAAGAATACATTTATCATGATGAGCACTGAGTAACAGAATTGTTCAATCACTACACTGTATACCTGAAACTAACTTAACACTATGTTAACTATACTGGAATGAAGATTTAAAAACTTAATAAAAAAAAAGTATTGAGAGTTCTTTTAGCTTTACTTAAACAGTTTTAATATATATCATTCCTTATATAAGCTATATAATTAGAATAAACCGAATAAGGAGTTCTTGAAACTTCACACTAAGAGTCCAACTCTTCTGAAACATTTCAATGCCATTACTGATATCCAGATTTTACAATATATAGTCTTCTGTGCCACCAAGGGCGCAGGTGATGTGACATTTCTTAAAAGTTCGCCACTCTACTACTGTCTTCATGATTTTTTTTCTAAGTTGCTGACGCCCATTCTACAAGTTTTAATGCTCATTTGCAGGCACAAGCAATGCCATGACTGCTATCTGGCCAAAAATAATTGTGAGATGCATCTTGATATCAGAGTTGTTAAAATGTGAAAAATATTTCCAAAATTAAAGTTTTTTATGTGAAAAGCATGTCTATCTTAGAATTGATAAAATATGGGAATTCATCATAATCATCACATAGTGTTAAAAATATGATACAAGGGGTGCCTGGGTGGCTCAGATGGTTAAGTGTCTGCCTTCAGCTCAGGTCATGATCCCAGGGTCCTGGGATCGAGCCCCGCATTGGGCTCCTGGCTCAGCGGGGAGCCTGCTTCTCCCTCTGCCTCTGCCTCTCCCCCTGCTCATGCTCTCTCTCTATCTCTGTGTCTCAAATGAATAAATAAAATCTTAAAAAAAAATGATACAATATAAAAAACAAAACAAGAAAGCTTATTATTTTAGATTGTTTTTCCAGTGGCAATGATGGGGCTATCTATCTAAAACCAGTCAGAGTATTGGGGCACCTGGGTGGCTCAGTCGTTGGGCGTCTGCCTTCACCTCAGGTCATCGTCCCGGGGTCCTGAGATCGAGCCCTGCATCGGGCTCCCTGCTCCGCGGGAGGCCTGCTTCTCCCTCTCCCACTCCCCCTGCTTGTGCTCCCTCGCTCACTGTCTCTCTCTCTGTCAAATAAATAGATAAAATCTTTGAAAAAAATAAAAATAAAAAAATAAAACCAGTCAGACTATTATATAGTCCTTTTTGTTATCCATAGATTGTTGATGCAAAACATGTAGCTGGTGTTACAAATATAATCTAACACATTAAGAAATGCCTGGCAAACAGATGTCCAATAAATATTTGTAAAATGAATGAACAAGGTCTAGGAAAAAAATAATTAATCCGCAAATGGACTGAATCTAGGCCTCCCAAGAATGGTGCTCTTAGACCAGGACTCAAACTTGAGCACACATTTGAATCACCCAGAAGGGTCTGTTAAAACACAGATTACTGGGACAAGAGAATAAATAGATTAGTAATGAGGTATAGTCTTAGTATATGAAATTAGATATATAAGAATTGCTAGACCCTAATGCTGAAGGCCAACAGAAATAATATTTCAGGAGTGCCCGACTGGCTCAGGTGGTAGAGCATGACTCTTGATCTCGGAGCTGTAAGTTCAAGCCCCAGGTTAGGTGTTGAGATGACTTAAAAATCTTTAAAAAGAAAGGAAATAAGACTTCATTTCTTGAGCCATTTTTTGAAGGACATACTGATTCTAGACTAGATTTCTATGAAATATATAAAGGAATTTTAATTACTTACTCAAATATCATGTTTAGTTTGGACCCAACCACAGACACCAAAAAATACATATAAATAAAATAAATACATACAAGCACAGACGCACGCACACACACACACACACACACACACAATGTTTATCACATCTGAATAATCACAAATTTTACTTCACCAGGCTCAGTTTGGTGAAGTTTTACTATGCACCAGAATTAGACTTTCTTGGGGCACCTGGGTGGCTCAGTGGGTTAAACATCCAACTCTTGACTTCAGCTCAGGTCTTGATCTCAGGGTTGTTAGTTCAAGACCCTGGACTGGGCTCTACACTGGGTGTGGAAACTACTTAAAAAAAAAAAAAGAATTAGGCTTTCTCTATCCCTGGCCACCACCCCGCCACCACACGTGCCCAGAAAAATTTATACTACAAATAACTTTTTGAAAAAGTCTACACAGAACTAAATTTGGTTCAACCATAACATCAAACTTCTTCTTCATTTATAACCTTAGGAACTACTACCTTTTAGAAAGGTTTTCCTTTTTTTAAAGGAACAATGCTGAAATAATACTTTGTATCCAAACATTAAATACAGTAAAGTACAGGGGGAAAAAACTCAGCGAAGTATGAAAACATACTAAAGGAGGTGGTAAAACGTCAATTTTCTAAGACATTAAAACAGAATAAAACCCACCAAATATGGGAAAATCTGAGCATCAAAATGAATGACAGGAATGTCTGATAACCCAATGAATAAAAAAGAATCTCTGAATCTATTTTTTTAAAGTATGGAACACTATATGAATTTGCATGTCATCTTTGCACGGGACCATGCTAATTTTCTCTGTATCATTCCAATTTTAGTACATGTGCTGCCGAAGTGAGCCCTCTCTGCATCTTTTTGATACTTAAATAGTTTTTTAAAATGAGGTAGGGCACCTGGCTGGCTCAGTCAGTAGAACATGCCCATGGGGTCGTGAGCTATACAGCCCCATGCTGGCAGGGTAGCTTGTACTTAAAATTTTTTTTAAATCTTAAAAAAAAACGAGGGGGGGAGGGATGAGGCAAGGAGAAAGAAAAGCTCTGCTTTATAGAAGAATGCCAGCCTAGAGCGCCTGGGTGCCTCAGTTGGTTAAGCGACTGCCTTCGGCTCAGGTCATGCTCCTGGAGTCCTGGGATCAAGTCCCACATCTGGCTCCCTGCTCAGCAGGGACTCTGCTTCTCCCTCTGACCCTCCCCCCTCTCATGCTCTCTCTCTCAAATAAATAAATAAATAAATCTTAAAAAAAAAAAAAAAAGAATGCCAGCCTAACAAATTAGAAATAACAAAAGAAATAGAAAGCCACCATTTTACTGGCAAGAATCATTAATGGTTACCAAACCATAGTATGAAAGACTATCAGGAAACAGAATATATATAGTCTCAGACTACCATCCCATAGATTACTTACTAATTACAAGTACTAATGAAATGACCAAATTTAACATCATTAACAATGGAATAAACTGATAACATGTGCCCCCTAATCTGATGGAAACTGAGAAAAAATAACTTTCATCCTACATAGTACTGCTGCTGAAATGTTTAATCTGGATCTAATCATGAGGAAATAATTAGACATACAAAGTGCAGAACATTTTATAAACAAGGCTCTTCAAAAACACCGTTAAGGACATATGCCGTCCCTCCTCAGTGTGGCCTGAGAGCCTGGCTGGACCCCAGCCACAGGGTGCTGCTATAGAGAATGAGGATTTGAACCAGGACCGAGAGGAGCAGAAGCTGCTGCTGGACCCTAGCGGCCTGCCTACCAAAGCCCTCAATGGAGCTGAGCCCAACCACCACAGACGGCTCGCACAGATAAGCAGGCCCTGCTCTCTCCCACCCTTGCTGAGACAGCCAGCAACATCACCCGAGTGTCTGCTGCAGACTCCCAGGGCACGGAGCTGCGTGAGTACACGGACCCAGCATGGCAGGAGAGCACCCACTTGGCTGTGCGGAGCACCAGGCTGACCCGCCGCTGCCATCACTCACCTGCCAGTCCCACCATGTGTGGGCCAGTGAGCCCCTCCCCTTCTCCCACTTGCAGCAGGTCTCCAGGACAGCTGCTTAGGCCTCCAGGGCACTTCCTCAGATCGGAGCGGATGTAAGAGGAGCTGGTTGCACAGTTTGGGATCCTGGGACAGCTCTTCTCTCTTCACCCGGACTCCACCCTGCCTCTCCTAGCCCCCAGCCTCACTGTGGCTCACAGAAAAGAATGTGGAGGAGGAGAAAAGTGAGGCTGGGAGCAAGTAAGGACAGAGCAAGGGAAGGCAGAGCCACTTGGGACTGACCTTCAAAGCCCTCATCAGGGATGGGGGAGGTCAAAAGGTTAGGGCCTAGTAGGTCTTCACTGTCGCTGGGAAGGTGGAGGTACCACTGTGAGGGTGATCCCTAGGGAACCTATGGGGGCCCCTTCCCACCCTTTCTCTTGGCCTCACTCCTGACCCCCTCTCCCAGCCTTGGTGCTCACATGCATCTCACTAGGGTTTGTGACTGCATCTGGATGAGCTTGAATTCAAATGAATTGAGTTTGTATTTCCAGCACCCTGGGTTTTTAAATGTTTGGGGTTTACAGGTTTTGTTTTGGTTTGTCACCCTTGATAAAGGAAGTGTATTCATCTGGAAAAAAAATTTGTCATGGTGAAAAACAAAAGACTAGGGAACTATTCTACCTTAATGCAAACTAAAAAGATGTAACAAGTAAATGAAATGCATGATTCTTGACTGGATTCTAGATTAAAAAAAACAGCTACAGAGGAAATTCTTGAGACACTTAGAGAAATCTGAATCAAGTCTGTATATTATTTTTTTAACTTTATGTATTTTTAAGTAATCTCTATGCTCAACATGGGACTCAAACTCATGACCCCAAGATCAAGAGTTGCATGCTCTTCCGACTGAGCCAGTCAGGCGCCCCAAATCAAGTCTGTATATTAGATGACGTCTGCAACCAACTCTCAAGTGCTTCAGAAAAAAATGTACACGTATAAAAAGAGAAAGATAAAATTGAATATGGCCAAAATGGTCAATCCAGGTAAAGTGTATAGGAGTGGTTCAATGTACTCTTCTTGGAACTTTTGTGAGGCAGATTTTTCAAAATAAAAACTTGGGGACAAAAGAAAGCAAAACTAAAGTCACTGAAATACAACAGACTTAAGTCATTTAAATCTGAAACACGGAGGAAGATCCTTGAGAAGGACACCCAACCACCAGATTTCCTTCTTTACCTGCTGTATTTAAACATCGATGGAGAGGAGCTACAAGAGGCTGAAGCAAATACTTTAAAGCGAATTGTGGGTGTTCTCTTGACATTGTTATAAAGGTACTGGTGGCAACTCTTTGAAACTGCCGTGCTGTCAATTTATCTTGAAAGTGAAATAAATCTAGAATCTACAAGAAAAAGTACATGAGGTAAATATAAGACTCTTTGTAAGGAGCATTACATTAACTAGAAAAAGCACTAATGTCTTTAAACCAAAAAATAAGCTTACTGCAATAATACTGATTCAAGAGATTTTTTTTTTTACCTTTAATAACCCCAGTATCAGAGGGTTTGAAAACCAAGCTCTGCTTTTATCAAATAATGCTATCAAATTTATAAAATACATGTTCATCGGAGAAAATTTGCAAAAGAAAGTTTTAAGAAAAATCATCTCAAGTCACTAAAACATTTTTGGTATATTTTTTCCAATCTATTTCTGTTTAATTATTTTCTTTTTAATTGCGACCACACTTAATATTCAGTTTTACATATTGCTGAAATCTGCTGATATTGTTATAAATTCCTCAAAAATATTATATTTAAGATGCATGTAAGAACTGATTAAATTATTTCCTAATATCCAGACATTGAGTTTTCTCTCAAAATTTTGCTATTATAGGAAGGTGGGAGGATGGGTTAGCCTGGTGATGGATATTAAAGAGGGCATGTTCTGCATGGAGCACTGGGTGTTATACGCAAACAATGACTCATGGAACACTACATCAGAAACTAATGATGTAATGTATGGTGATTAACATAATAAAAAAAAATTTTGCTATTATAGTATACCTGAAACTAATATAACACAGTATGTTAACTACAATGGAATTAAAATTAAAAACTTAAGGGCGCCTGGGTGGCTCAGTCAGTTAAGCGTCTGCCTTCAGCTCAGGTCATGATCCCAGGGTCCTGGGATTAAGCCCTGCACTGGGCTCCTTGCTCAGCAGGGAGCCTGCTTCTCGAGATTCTACCCCTCCCCCGTGTTTGTGCACACTCTTTCTCGCTGTCATTCTCAAATAAATAAATAAAATCTTTAAAAAAAATTTTTTTTTAAATTAAGAACTTAAGAAAAAATTGCTATTATAAATAGCGCTACCAAATGAAATTTCTGAATCAAGGCATAAAAATATATTTAGGGTCTGAAGAACCTGTCATGCCTGAACTATCCCACAAAGGAATCTATTTTATTCTCAAAGATAAATATCTCCAGTGCCTATGAGTGGTATACCCTAGTGTAAGCAGTCAATAGAAAATTGCATTTCTAGGGACACCTGGGTAGCTCAGTTGGTTAAGCATCTGCCTTTGGCTCCGGTCATGACCCCAGCATCCTGGGAACGAGTGCCCCCTCGGGTTCCTTGCTCAGCAGGGAGACTGCTTGAAAGATTCTCTCCCTCCCCTCTGCCGCACCCTCTGCTTGTGTGTGCGCGCTCTCTCTCTCTCTCTCTCAAATAAATAAATAAATAAAATCTTAAAAAAAATTCTCTCTAGCAAATGCTTAACCCACTGAGCCACCCAGGCATCCTGAGGAAGATTTATTTTTGCTCACTCTTCTGTGCTTTTTAAATTGTATACCATGTTAATTTACTTTGTTTACTTAATACCTTTTTTTTAACTAATTAAAAACACACAGAAAAGATAATGAACAAGATGAAATTTTAGTTTCACATTTCAGCTCCGAGAGCAAGCGAGACTACTCATTTGACAATGGGGAGGCGTTCTCAAACCTAACAATTAGGCGGGTCTCATACACAGGTGTTTATTCACTCATTAACGAGGCCCCTCACTGAACAATAAACTTAAATATTATGTTGCTTGTACCTCCCCATTAAAGAAACATTAAAGTCTCCTTTCTGTGAGTAAGCAGATAACCCTCACACAGTGAAAAGAAACAAAGTTGTTTACCTGGGGGCAGATATCCCTGTAGTAATCCTCTGGTGAAAGAGCCTGCTGGGGACAAGAGGCCAGAATCTTGGCAATCAGGTCACACTTCTTCCAGTCAGCAGCTGCTGCCTCGGCGTCACTCCCGCCAGCCGCCCCAGCTGTCAGCGATGGACAGAGATGTCAAAAACTCATACCAGTTTCCCCATATGGTCCTTACAATCTCGGCAAAAAAGTGTTTTCTCGCTACTGGTAATTATGTATTTCTTTTATAAGATAATCTACCCCTCTGCACTTTCCATGCTGGTTTCTGGGAAGTTTGGAGGAAAAAGGAGCACTTAATCATTGTAATGTTATTATCGACCTAAGTTTAATAAGTTGGGGGGAGTGGGAGGATACAAATGTTTTGGAATTATATTTTGGTGATGGTTGTACAACTTTGTGAATATACCAAAAACCACTGACCTGTACTCTTTTAAAAAGTGGATTTATGGTATGTGAGTAATATCTCAATAAAAAAAAGTTACAAGGCATGCAAAGAAGCAAGAAAGTATGACCCATAACCCTGAGGAAAAATCATAGAAACAGACCCATTAAAACAGACACAACAAAATTCGGAAACAAGGACACTAAAACAGTTTTACAAATTTACTCCTTATTTTCGAGAAGGTAAAGAAAGATCATGATGAGAGAAATGGATTAATGAAATTAATGAAAATTAATGAAAAAGAAAATATGTGTGGGAGGCCTGGGTGGCTCAGTCAGTTAAGCATCTGTCTTCGGCTCAGGTCATGATCCCAGGGTCCTGGAGTCGAGCCCTGCATCAGGCTCCCTGCCCAGTGGGGAGTGTGCTTCTCCCTCTAGCTTTACCCCCCTCCCCACTTGTGTGCTCTCTCTCTCTCTCTCTCAAATAAATAAATAAAATCTTAGGGCGCCTGGGTGGCTCAGTCATTGAGCATCTGCCTTCGACTCAGGTCATGATCCCAGGGTACTGGGATCGAGCCCCGCATCGGGCTCCCTGCTCAGCAGGAAGCCTGCTTCTCCTCCCACTCCCCCTGCTTGTGTTCCCTCTCTCTGTCAAATAAATAGATAAAGTCTTAAAAAAAAAAAAACTGAAAGAAAGAAAGAAAATACCTGTAATGAAAAATACACTGGATGGGATTAAGAGCAGATTAGATACTGCAGAAGAAAAAAATCAATAAACCTGAACACATAGCAATAGAAATTATCCAAGATGAAACACAGAAAGAAGACTGAAAAACAAAACAAAAAAACATAGAGCATTAGTAATTTATAGGAGTACATTAAGCATAATATTAGGTGTACATCAAATTCCAAAAAGAAAGAAGAGGGGCACCTCGCTGGCTCAGTGGGTAGAGCACATGACTCTTGATCTGGGTGGTCCTGAGTTTGAGCCCCACATTGGGGCTTGTACTTTAAAAAAATAAAGTTTTAAAAAGAGAGAGAAGAGAGGATAGAAAAAAATATTTGAAGACAATGTCTGAGCAATTTCCAAATATGACAAAAACTATAAATTCTCAGCTCTAACAAGCTCAAGAAACATTAAGCAGAAGAAACATGAAGAAAATCATCCACACCAAGGCATACCATTAACAAATTTCTAAAAACCATTGACAAGGAGAAAAAACTTAAAAGCAACCAGAGGAAAAAAGATACATCATATACAGAGGAACAAAGACAAAAATGATAACAAAAATATTTTCAAAAAGGAAGGTGAAGGCTTTTTCAAATAAAAGCCAAAGGAATTCACTGCCAGCAGACCTGCACTATAAGAAATGCTAAAGTTCTTCAGGCAGAAGGAAATTTGAATTAAAATTTAGATCTACACAAAGAAATGAAGAACACCAGAAATGGCAAATGTGTGAGTAAATATAAATTGCCTCAAATCAGTTGAGATGAAACAAGATTTAAATAGATAACAGAAAAATATATACATGCATAAGTAGAGGGAGAAAAAGCTCATAGCAAAAATAGGGCTCTAAGTGTTTATAGCAGCTCTCCAATTTGCATGACCTTGGGTGAACTCTAACTTTTCCTCAGAAAAAGATTTGCAAGGACCTATTTGCACATGGCAACTTCTCTCAGATAACTGATAATTTGTCAGAATTGGGGAGGCAACATTATAGCCACTCTAGACCAAATCTATCAATATTTGCCTACCACACTGACCTCACCTTTGTCTGACAGGACCAAGGTACATTTGCCACTAGAAATGGGAAGTCAAGATTGATTCTTCTGTCTCTCCTCTTTCCTCCCCACATATCCAGCCCTTCATTAAGTTCTGACAATGCTACCTCTTTTTTTAAATTAATTACTTAATTGAGAGAGAGCGCACGTGCGTGAGCACACAAGTAGGGGGCGGGGCAGAGCAAGAGGGAGAAAGAATCTGAGGCAAACTCCACACTGAGCGCTGAGCCCAACCCGGAGCCCAATCCCATGACCGTGTGACCATGACCTGTGCCGAAATCAAGAGTCAGATGCCTAACCTACTGAGCCACCCAGGTACCCCTGGCAATGCTACCTCTTAAATACCTCTTACAGTCATTCATTTCTCTCCATTTCTATGGCCACTGCATTGATCCAAGCCATTGTGATCTCTCAGATGACTGCTTCTCTTAACTGATCTCCCTCCTTCTGCTCTTACCCAACCAATTCCTCACAATACATCCAGACAGATATTTCTAAAATGTAGATCTGATCATACCTCTCTCCTTCTTAAAACCTTCCAATGGTTTCTCATTGCCCTCAGAATAAAGTTCAAAATCCTGAACACCACACTCTGCCCTCACTGCTCTACCCACACTGAACCTTATTCAAAAACACCATGCTTTTTCTGTGTCAGTTCCTTCATACATGCTATTCTCTCTGCCTACGTTAGTCAGTCTTCTCTCACTCTTCAACTAATAAATTCTTATTCAGCCTTGAGGGCTCAGTATAAATGTTGTTTCCATCAAAAAGCCACTAAGTGTGTGGTAATTGGTTACAGGAGCAAGAGGAAATGAATGTACATGGGATATGGGAGATAAGGGACCAAACACAAAAGACAGGGAAAGGAATCACCAGGATTTAAAGGTGAAGGGAGGGGCGCCTGGGTGGCTCAGTCGTTAAGCGTCTGCCTTCGGCTCAGGTCATGATCCCAGGGTCCTGGGATCGAACCCCGCATCGGGCTCCCTGCTCCGAGGGAAGCCTGCTTCTCCCTCTCCCACTCCTCCTGCTTGTGTTCCCTCTCGCTGTGTCTCTCTCTGTCAAATAAGTAAAATCTTTAAAAATGAATAAATAAATAAAAACAGAAAAATAAAGGTGAAGGGAGATCCCAGGAGGTCTGCTGTGCAAGAAATAACTAGTCCAGATTAGAGAAGACTCAGGGAGAGATGTCCCCAAAAAGATCAAATCAATAGAATATTGAGTGTATTCAAATACATTGAAAGGAAACTTAAACAACTGGGAGAGAATGTCCTGGGGCTCGATCCCAGGACCCGGAGATCGTGACCTGAGCTGAAGGCAGACACTTAACCATCTGAGCCACCCAGGTGCCCTATAAGCAGTTTTAGAAAAAAATACTGTTTTAGAAAAATGGCAAGAGAATGAGTTTCTGTGAAAAAGAAGTTCATTAAGGTTTCATCTCCAAATCTAACCTCCTCAATCTCCACAAAGGCAGAGATTAGTCACAATCAGTCTTACAGTCAAATGCTCAAGACCCTGACCCGAAGGAAACTGGATACCAAAGTAAAAGAAACATTTTCTTACCACCTGCTCCTTCCAGAATGCCCCGGACTACTGCCTGAACACCACTGGGTCTCATCAACCTTTCAGAGAGCAGCTGCCCACATAGACGCCGAAGCCAAGCTGGGGCCCGACACCTTACTTGTGTCTTCTCATCTGTGCAGGACTGAAAAAGGAAGGAAAAGACATGAATTCAGTGTCAGTGAAATAGATAGATGTGTAGAAGTCATTAAAATATGTAAATATATACTGAGTCATACTGACAATTAACAGTATGATAAACAGACTTAGGAGAGTGGCATTTTTTTCCAAAAAGAAACCTCCTTCAGCATCACTTCTAAGAAAGTAGAAATACCATGAAACTTCAAGTGAAATATCAAGTGAAATTTCAAACCCAGAAATAGACAAACACATAGGTGAATAAAGTATAGATTTTAGAAACACAAAATAGATGTAACCAATCTCTGAATGAAGTCCTTCCAATCAAATCTAGCTTCCATACAAGAGTCCTATGAACATTACTCACCACTAAGAGTACAGGTCGTGCCCATAAGAGGGCATGCTAGTCCTTGCCTCCATGGTCTCAGCTACTCTGACTCCTTGGGGCACAGCCGTTTCAAAAAAGAGTCGAATTTCTTCAAGCACTCCTTTTTGAGAGCTTTGTGGAGCCACCATGAACAAAAGAGACTTGAGGTCTCTGCTTTTGGGTCTAGAATGCGAACTATGTTGCTGTTAATCGTGGTATGTAACTATGTGAACATAACAATTAGTGACAGAAACATTTAATCCTAACTAGCCTGTCCTCTCTCTTTTATTTAAGGAGGACTAATAATTACCACTTATTGAGGGGGTTATAATTTGCCAGGCACTGTGCTAAATAACTCTCACATAATCTCAAAACGGACTTGCAGGAGTTACTATCCTATCATTAAGGAAACTGAGGGATGGAAAGGTTTACTAATTCACATAACTGCATGCGGGGGTGTGCTGACCTCCAGAGCCTCTGCTTTTCACCATGCTCTTAATAATGCATTGATTTAATCTGGCAAACTGTGGAGTCATCCAGAGAAGTGGAGTGTGAGGCCAAAGGGGCTCCATGGGAGGCTACAGTAATATTCTAGAGATGAGCTGAAAATGACTTAATCTAGGAGATATATTTGTACCCAGCTTCAGCTGGTCCTTGTACCTGACTTACCACTAATTCCTTTGGCCCCTCACTCTTCACTCAGCTATAGTCATAACTAAAGGTAGATACTATAAGCAAGTAGGTAACTCCATCTTCATCAAATTAAAACATTCAGATAAATAATTATTTTTAAGGAAAAAAGGAACTATCTTATACCTAGCAGAATATATACTATTGTGTTTTCAAACAAAGGAGATAAAAATAGTCCCAATGATAGACCTAATATTAATGTCTTGACTATATATATTCCATTCAAAGAATAAGATGTCTAAATATTTCTGCCAGAAGAATGTATTGTCAAACAGCCAAATTTTAGTATTAAAAAAAAGGAGTTCCAGTTTCAGAATGAATAAAATATATTTTCAATAAAATTGCCACATTCTAGTTAAATTTAAAAAATGAACAGGGCGCCTGGGTGGCTCAGTTGGTTGGGCGACTGCCTTCGGCTCAGGTCATGATCCTGGAGTCCCAGGATCGAGTCCCACATCAGGCTCCCTGCTCGGCGGGGAGTCTGCTTCTCCCTCTGACCCTCTTCCCTCTCGTGCTCTCTCTCTCTCATTCTCTCTCTCTCAAATAAATAAATAAAATCTTTAAAAAAATAAAAAACAGATAAATAATGAACAAAAATTCAAAATAAATAAAATGGCCATAATCTTGGAAAAAGTGGCCATCATTCCATTAACAGAAAAATCCTTAAAAATTATCCTGACGGGGGGTGCCTGGGTGGCTCAGTCATTAAGCGTCTGCCTTCGGCTCAGGTCATGATCCCGGTCCTGGGATCAAGCCCCGCGTTGGGCTCCCTGCTCAGCAGGAAAGCCTGCTTCTCCCTCTCCCACTCCCCCTGCTTGTGTTCCCTCTCACTGTCTCTGCCTGTCAAATAAATAAATAAAATCTTTAAAAAAAAAAATTACCCTAACAGTCAGGGTGCCTGGCTGGCTCAGTTGTTAGAGCATTCAACTCTTGATCTTGGGGTTGTAGTTTCAAGCCCCACGCTGGGTGTAGAGATAATTTAAAAATAAAATCTTGAAAAAAAAATTATCCTAAGGGTCAGTGTAACTTAGTTTTACAAATAATCAAAGACTCAACTAGATTATCAAATTTCCCAGGAAAACACAACACCCTGCACATTATCATTAATGATTCACCCACAAGAGTCCCCAGGCCTGAATACCTGGGGTGGTCCTCCCTGGAGGGTAAGTAATTCTCGGACTGCTAATGGTTGATACACTTGATCCAAGATGTCTCTCAAGGCCTCCCTAGATAGTGTTCTTTCCTCTTCTGTTAAAACCTAAAAGAAACATGTACTTGGCTTTAGCAGGCAATAGAAGGTAATGTTTACCATCCTGTGCAAAAACACTGACGAGAGCACAGGAGAGCAGGCTTCTTTCTCCTCTCGACTCTCTTCCACATGGAGGAAGTATTAATACTAAAACGCTCCTGGCCCCCTCTGCATCCCCTCACTCACTTCCGGGCAGGAGATCTAAGGCACTTACCTTATTGGTGAGTTTGGAATAAACTTACTTACTGGTGAGTGTTGGCATGTACAACTTGGCTCGTTCCTCTTCTATGTCTTGGGAGCAAGTGCATGTTCTGCTCTGCTCTTCCTTGCTGTAGATTTTACAGAGGCATATCCCCTGCCACGGGGGGAGCAGAAGGTGCTATAGTTTTCCAGCACTCCTTGAAACTGGGTGAGTAGTAAGCGTGTGTAGCTCTGGAATGCAGTTAGGAAACCCAACTGTCTCCATCAATAAGCTATATCCCCAACTTTGCACTTAGGAGCAATAGAGATGACATTTTGAGTCTTTATCTCACTTAATCGGTTAGCTTTTAACTCATTCAGAAGTTGGCAGCAAAGAGGGGTGCTATTTGTTGGGTCCCCTTGAACCTCAACAGTACTGTTCCCCTCAGTAACTCAGTAAAGCAGTCAGGATTGTGCCCATTACCATTTAGCAATGTGAAGCACATGCACTGCTTAGAGCAGCTCGTAATGCTGGGACTTGCCCAGCTGCAAAACATGCACCCTCTGTGTTTCCCCTTCTGTCAACTTCTCTTGCCTTTCTACTTGGTCCTTTCTCTGTGCTTCCCTTTTTTCCCTCTGGCTCGACACTCTGGGGCACTGCTTAGGTAATAGTAATAAGACCTGTGAACCCAGAACCCCCCATCTCAGAGAACTGGAGGCAGTAGGCACGGATAGAAATGCCAAAACTCACACCCTGTAGTAAAGAGCACAGTGCCCTGCTCCCCATAACATGATGCCCCTGGGGGAGCTGATAATTTCATGTCACTGCTCGGATGATAGGAGCTTTTAGACAAATGTTTGTGAACATACGCAGGAAAGAAAATAGAAAAGAGAGCAAACAGAAAAGACACAAGATTACAGGGTGACACAGAGAGGTGACAGAGAAATGAGGTGGGTGGGCATTATGAATCTGGCTGCAAGGGCTAAGGAATTAGCCCACATCCGAGACACACTGACCTTCGATACATTTATATCTTAACTTCTGGCCAGGCTCCTATGCTGATGCTGGCGGTCTTCTCGTGAGGGACTAGCGGTCCCTGCTATGCTGAGGAAGAGGTAAACACACATTGAGTGTGTGTCTTTGTGAATGTGTATATATTTGTCTCTTCAGTTCATGTCTTATGCTTCTGTAGCCTCCACAGCACCTTTACAATCCAGGTACTCAAATCCTTACTATGTCAGCAAAAAAACAGGTCAATACCCCTAACAGCTAATAATAACAATGAACACTGATTGAATTATGCAGGGTACCCAGTGCTTTACCTACTTCATTTCATTTAATCTTCCCAAGAACTTAATGAAGGAGAGATGAATAGTGTAAAACTAATATTAGTAGTAATTACTTTTTGATGAGCACTACTGGGGATTGGGCTAGGTACTTTACACACATTATCCTTAATCCTCACAACCACCTTCCAAGGCAGGTATCATTATACACATTTTATTAAAAAAGAAACAGAGGCAAAAAAAAAAGAGAGAGAGAAAGAAAGAAAAGAAACAGACTCAAAGAGCCTGCAACAGTTGTCACAAAATGACAAGAAGAAACAGGCGAAATGGACTCTCTAAGCGTGCTAAGGACTAGCATCTAATAAATGAAGCTCCAGCCATCTAAAAAGATTCATTTGTCCACTAGATATGCTTTGGCATTCAAGAGGAATTCTAGGTCTTTCCAACAACCCTTTTCCAAAGAACCAAGAGCCATCTTCTATAACCACACATACAAATATATACACATTCACAAAGACACACACACACTCAATGTGTGTTTACCTCTTCCTCAGGCTTTAGTGGTTTTCTCTTGGTTGGACAGAATCCCAGCTGGCACAGACCTGCAGCAATATCCCCAAAATGGCGGCAGAAAATCAAGCTCCCCAGAGATGTGTGACGTGCAACATTTAGAAGAACCCTGCAGCTGCTGTACAGTCTCTGGGTTGCATGAGGAGGAGCATCGAGACACACCACATCCTGAACGATGGCCCCAAACTCAGTTCTGCATCTCAAAGGGACTCCAACTCCAGGCATGAGATAGGGGCAGACACCGAAGGTGACTACAAACTGCAAGGCTGACTGGACAGTCTTCTGCTGGGAGATACTAAGTGTATCCGGGCTCAGGGCAGGAGCAGCTTCTGGAGTCCTCAGGTTGGGTTTGCCTGGATTGAAATCAGCTGCAAGGTGGATCATGGTTTCCTTCAAGCACAACAGCAACAATAAGGCTTGAGAGGTAAAACTCCAGGTGACATCCACAGAGTTTTGTGGCCATTCTGCCTTATTAGCAATTTCATCCCTTAGGAATTTGAGTTTCTTCCAGTGAGGATCCTTCAGCAATTTGTCCTCCAAAGCAGACAGGTTAGAATTTAAAGTAACCAACAGGACATCATGTTTTGTGATCTGTAGTGAACCTGAGTCTGATTCTTTAGAAGGAAAAAGAAAAAAAAGGATCACATACATGGGAAACAAACTGTACTTCACTCTGTGTGGAATGCCTTACCCACTCCAGCTCATCCTCTGGGGCCTGGCCCAGATGTCATTGCCCCTGGAAAGCCTCCCCCAGTTGTGCCATCCAAGCATAGCCAGAAATCAAGACCACTTTTTCTGCCTTCCCAAAGTACTCTGGGATGTAGTTAGAATGATGTACCTAACACATTATACTTCATCTAGTTTGTTTCTATTTCCCATGTGTTCTGAGGGCAGAGGCCATGTCTAGTCATCTTACTGGGCCTGAATTGTAGCCAGAACTGAAAAATAAAAGGCTGAATATTTACCACAGAAGATTCATTCAAACCGTTCTAGGTGCCAGGGATAAAGCACTGAACAAAACAAAGTCTCTTCCCTCATGGGACTGTATCACAAAATACAGCCCTAGGTTCAGAGGGATTCATTTAATCACCTTTCCCCGACAAAATATCTATTTTCAATTCCTACCCCCGACCCTTCCTAAAATGGTCTTTTCTGCCCTCTGCTGGTGAAGGAGCCTTAAATGCTCACAACAACTCCCTCCTTGAAACACGCCCATCTCTCAAGAGCCTCAAGGGCCTAAAGGGCCATCCCACCCACTGCCGGCTCCTTCTCCACCAGGGCTTCTCCTGAGTTCTGCACTCTCTTCCTCGAGGATCTTCTCCAGGCCCATGTCTTTAAAAACCACCTATAAGCTACCAACTACAAAATTTGTATCCCCAGCCCATGTTGACCCTCTAAGTATCAGGATAAGTAAAAAGAAAATCACATTATAGCAATTATTAAAACCAGAGAGACAGAGAAAATCTTGGAAGCAGACAGAAAAATATGAAGCACTCTATACGAGGGATGATGCTGTGAATGACTGTGAACTCACGAACAACGACTGCTAAAAGATGGTAGAAAAGCATCTTTAAAATAGTGAGGGGCACCTGGGTGACTCAGTCAAGTGTCCAACTCTTGATTTCGGCTCAGGTCATGATCTCAGGGTCGTCATCTCAGGGTCGTGAAAAGGAGCCCTGTGTCGGGCCCCTCACTGGGTATGGAGCCTGCTTAAGGTTCTCTCTCCACCAGGGCGCCTGGGTGGCTCCATTAGTTAAGCAACAGACTCTTGGTTTTGGCTCAGGTCATGATCTCAGGGTTGTGAGATCGAGCCCTACATCAGGCTCCATGCTCAGCATGTAGTCCGCTTGTCCCTCTCCCTCTGCCCCTTCCACTGCCCTCTCTCTCTCTCTCAAATAAATAATAAAATCTTAAAAAAAAAAAATTCTCTCTCCCTTTGCCCCTCCCCCACTGCTTACGACACTTTCTCAAAAAAATAAAATACTGACATAAATAAAATGTCAACTCGGAATTCTAGATCTAGTAAAAATAACCTTCAAAAATGAAAATAAAGACATTTCAGATCAAGGAAAACCAAGAGAACTGTCAGCAGGCCTGCACTACAAACAAAAGGTAAAGCAAATTCTTCAAGCTGAAGGAAAATAATACTAGATGGAAACTGGGATCCTCAGGAAGGAATGAAGAACCTCAGAAATGGTAAATATGTAGGTAAATATAAAAGACGAATTTTTCTCTTAATTTCTTCAAATACATATATGTCTAAGGCAAAAATCTATAAAATGGGATTTATAACTTCTATAGATATAATAAACATGAAAATCATAGTAGCATAGAGGCGCTTAGGTGGCTCAGTTGGTTAAGTGTCTACCTTCAGCTCAGGTCATGATCTCTAGGTCCTGGGATCGAGCCTCACGCCCAGCTCTCTGCTCAACGGGGAGTTTGCTTCTCCCTCTCACTTTCCCTCTCCCTCTGTGCTCTCTCTCTCTCTCAAATATATAAATTAAATCTTTAAAAAAAAATCATAGCATAAAGCCCAAGTTGGGGTATGGGAGCTATAAAACGACTCTTAGGGGCACCTGGGTGGCTCAGCTGGTTAGGCTTTCGGCTCAGGTCATGATCCCGAACGTCTATCATATGCTACCTTTTGTGTAAGAAAGGAAACAAATATAAAATACATTATTTGCTTTATTGTCCAAAAGGCAGTGAAAGAACAAATTAAACAGTAAAATGAGTTATGTACAGAGAGAACAGTGGGGAAGAGCTAGGGACAAATTTATCCAGTTTTAGAGTTTTTGTTTTGGAACCCTATATATGTTTTTCATAGTTAAAAAAATTAAATAAAAATTTTTTTCAAAATAATTCCCCAAAATCAAAAATATACAAATGGATCTAATAACTCTGTACTTCGGCTCAGGTCATGATCCCGGGGTCCGGGATGGAGCCCCACATCAGACTCTCTGCTCAGCGGGGAGCCTGCTTCTCCCTCTCCCTCTTCATTCTCCCTGCCTGTGCTCTCCTGCTCTCTGTCAAATAAATAAACAGAATCTTTAAAAAAATAAATAAAATAAAATGACCCTTAGAGTTGCAAGGTTCGTAACTGTTATGTGAGGTAGTATCAATATTAATTCTAATTAAAAATTAGAAAAATTAAGGACGTGTATTGTGATTCCAGGACAACTACTAAAAATACAATGCAAAATGGAGGGTTATGGTTAGAAAACCATAATAAAATGTTGACAATGTAAATGAATACAAGAAGTAACATACTTCAAAACTAAACTTAAAACACCTTCTAAGAAACAAATTAGAAAGGATTAAAATGGAATGATAACTAAACGAGTGCTCAGCAGGGGCGCCTGTCTTTGGCTCAGGTCATGATGCCAGGGTCCTGGGATCGAGCCCCACATCAGGCTCCCTGCTCGATGGGAAGCCTGCTTCTCTCTCTCCCACTCCCCCTGCTTGTGTTCCCTCTCTCACGTTCCCTCTGTCAAGTAAATAAAAATAAAATCTTTTAAAAAAAAATAAGAGTGCTCAGCAGTGCATTACTTATAATAATGTAAAATGAGAAATATACATTCAGTAACAGGAGATTGGATGAGTAAATAACTGTCTACCTGTACCTAACATACTATATGTAAGTGTAGTATTTTATTATTTACTATCTCTTCACCGACTAGAATAAAAGCTGTTTGAGGACAGGAATGTTGCTCTGTTTTGTTCATTGTTGTATTCTCCTTGCCTGGAACAAGGTCTGTCAGATAATGTAGTATTTGTTCAAAATAGGTAGTAGTTGAATGAATGAATAATGGAATATTTGTTGCCATTAAGTTATGTCAAGGGGCGCCTGGCTAACTCAGTTGGGACAGTATCTGACTCTTGATCTTGGGGTGGTAAGTTCGAGCCCCACATTTAAAAATAAAAAAGTTTCATTGAATATTATTTAATGACATGTTCATTAAATACATTCTAAAGTGAATAGAGGGGTGGGACACCTGGGTGGCTCAGTGGGTTAAGTATCTGCCTCCAGCTCAGGTCATGGTCCCAGGGTCCTGGGATCAAGTCCCATGTTGAGCTCCTTGCTCAGCAGGGAGCCTGTTTCTCCCTCTGTTTGCTGCTCCCCCTGTTTGTGCACTTTCTCTCTCTCTCTGTCAAATAAATAAATAAAATCTTTAAAAAAAAAATAAAGTGAACAGTGTATGAAATACTATATGAGCAAAAGATATGAACACTTTACAGAAAAAGAAATGCAAATGACTTCTAAACATAAAAATATGATCAACCTTGCTCGTAACAGAAAAGTAAATTAAAACTATACTGAAATAGCACTTCCCATTTATCAACTGGCTAAAATCCAAAAGTTTTATAACACATTATGTGGCAAGGTTTTGGGAAATCACGCACTGTCATACATTGCTGGAAGAAACGAAAATGGTAACATTCTTGAAGAGAGCAATTTGGCAATATCTAGCAAAATTACATACGTATTTAACGTTTGGCCCAGCAATCCCACTTTTTAGGAATCTATCCTACAGATAAATACACAGGCAAAAATGCAAAATGACATATACACAAGGCTATTCATTGTAGTGCTTCTTGTATTTACAAAACACCTGAGGGGCGCCTGGGTGGCTCAGTCGTTAAGCGTCTGCCTTCAGCTCAGGTCATGATCCCAGGGTCCTCGGGATCGAGCCCCACGTCGGGCTCCTGCTCTGCGGGAAGCCTGCCTCTCCCTCTCCCACTCCCCCTGCTTGTGTTCCCTCTTTCACTGTATCTCTCTCTGTCAAATAAATAAAATCCTTAAAACAAAACAAAACACTTGAGACAACCCATATGTCCATTAAAAGAGAACTGACTGAATACACAATAGTATATCCAGATAATGGCATGCTTGTAAAAGAGGAAAATTGCCGTGAACCACTATGTAGTAATCTCTAAGACATATTACATATTAAAAGTAAGGTATAAAAGAATGTCTACCATATGCTACCTTTTGTGTAAGAAAGGAAACAAATATAAAATACATTATTTGCTTTTATTGTCCAAAAGGCAGTGAAAGAACAAATTAAAAAGTAAAATGAGTTATGTACAGAGAGAAGAGAACAGTGGGGAGGAACTAGGGACAAAGTTATCCAGTTTTAGAGTTTTTGTTTTGGAACCCTACATATGTTTTTCATAGTTAAAAAAATTAAAAATTTTTTTCAAAATAATTCCTAAAAATCAAAAACATACAAATGGATCCAATAACTCTGGTACTTTATGTCCAAGTTTATCAAACTATGATCTGCAGATCAAATCTGGCCACCACGTTTTCCATTAAGTTTTATTGGAACATAGTCATGCCCATTTATTTATATATTATCTATGGCTGCTTTCAAGCCACAACAGCAGAACTAATTGTAACAACTATATGGGTCACAAAGCCCAAAATATTTACTGTCTGCTCCTTTACAGAAAAAGTATGCAGACTCCTGCTCTATACCAAGTTAGCAGCATAAATGCAGAGAATTATTTCAAATGACTTGAAATATAGAACTTTAGGAGCACCTGGGTGGCTCAGTTGGTAGAGTGTGTGACTCTTGATCTTGGGGTTGTGAGTTCAGGCCCCACACTGGGTACAGAGATTACTTAAAAATAAAATCCTTAAAAAAAAAAAAAAGAACTTTATACATCCTGAGGACAACAAACAAACAAAAATCCCCTAAAATAAGTAGGTTTGTTGATGATGGTGATATAGGATTTGTTATTTTAAAATATTATATGCATGTGGGTGAATGTGTTAAGCACATACTTATATATGTGTGTGTGTGTATATGTGTGTATATATATATGAAATAAGTGTCATTAATTTCATTGGAACCAGTATTTTCAGATAAAAGAAATACAAATATAAAATACAGAAGAATGGCTAGGTGGACAAATATGTGATAAAGAATCTTGGTCATGGCATATGGGTTTTCACTATAAAATTCTGTCTGCTTTTCTATAAGACTGAAAATTTTCATAATGAAATGTTAGGAAAAATTTAAACTCCATCATATTTCATTTAATTGGGATATCAGTAAGAACTGTGGATTTATGTTTTGTTTTCTGAAAATCCACATATTTCGTACCTCTAGTAATTGAAAAAGTCTGTAAGCAATGACACCAGGGACAGTGAATATGCCTAGTGTCCATAGTATAGTCTCTAAATACCACTTCTCCTTAGGGGCGCCTGGGTGGCTTGGTAGGTTGAGCGGCTGACTCTTGATTTCATCTCAGGGTTGTAGGATCAAGCCCTGCGTTGGGCTCTGCACTGAGTGTGGAGGCTGCTTGAGAGTCTCT